ATATATATAGATATATATATATATATATATATATATATATATATATATATATATATATATATATATATATATATATATATATATATATATATATATATATATATATATATATATATATATATATATATATATATATATATATATATATATATATATATATATATATATATATATATATATATATATATATATATATATATATATATATATATATATATATATATATATATATATATATATATATATATATATATATATATATATATATATATATATATATATATATATATATATATATATATATATATATATATATATATATATATATATATATATATATATATATATATATATATATATATATATATATATATATATATATATATATATATATATATATATATATATATATATATATATATATATATATATATATATATATATATATATATATATATATATATATATATATATATATATATATATATATATATATATATATATATATATATATATATATATATATATATATATATATATATATATATATATATATATATATATATATATATATATATATATATATATATATATATATATATATATATATATATATATATATATATATATATATATATATATATATATATATATATATATATATATATATATATATATATATGTAGTTAATGTAATGGTCTGTTCACCATTTGAATAGACATGGTAACAGCTAGATGAAACCAGCTTGTTGAGTCTAAATGATTTGAGTTAATCATGGAAAGTTTCCAAACTTCAATACTGTGTTGTATCAAGTCACTCAAGCTTGTACAGTTAACATTTTATCAAAGTCCCTGTAGACAAAAATGAAAACACTGGCCTTACGCAAACACGTTCCTAAAATGAAAGGAACATAAAAGCATCACTTGTCGTGGTTTTCCACAGAGTGAGTGAATGTGTGTCTATTTTTATCTGCTCTCTTCTATCTGCCAGCCTCTTCATCTTTAATTAGCACAGTAGAAACATGTCAGGGCCTTTCCGTAACCGCAGGTATTTGACAGATTAAATAAAATGTGCCGTTTCTCCATGCATTCCTCGATGCGATCTGATCAGGTTTCAGACTTGAAAGGAGTTCTCCATAATTACACTCCATAGGAAATTAGATAAACATTAACAATTCAAGGTCCAAAACACACCATTTGGCTTATCACGAAATAACAAAATCAGAACGCGAACAAAGCCTGATGATTGATTGCACAACAAAAAAGAAATGGAAAGTTGCTACTGAGATGTGCATGGTGTTGAATGGTGCTAAAGCCCTTAGATAAATTAATCCATTCCAGCAGACTTTAAGTCACGTGGTGATTTATCTTCTGCCGGACTAAGTGCATCATGCCATCTCGGACACTGAAGACTATTCCATCATACTGTCGTACGTGTATAAATTGAAGGTGCCTCATGTTTTACATGTGTTCATTTGCAGATGACCTTGACTTAGAAGAATTCCAGTTAGCGATTGAAGAGTCCAAGCTACAGACCAGCATACAGTGCACCCCCATCCCAGGTAAATTCAATCCACATCAACTCCAGTTTTATGAACGAATGCCACCAAGACTACAAAGGCCTGTTCAAATGAATCAACAATCATGTTAAAGGAAGATGTATTTGCAACCAAAATGTGTCTTGCTCCAGTTACACTCTGAGAGGGACCTGAACTGGAATTTCCTGCATGGGAGTTGGACAAGCTCACAAAGACATGAAATACTTAAGTCTTTAGGTTCAGTCACTAGTGCAGCTCTAAAGGCCATTTTTGGATGGTTTACTCACACAGCTTCTTCTAGCCTGGGGTCCGTTCTTCGTACCTCGCTTAAATGATCTAAGTTGATTTGGCAGATCCTGGATCTGTTCATCTCGATAACTGTTCTCTCGCTAATTTGGTTCTTCAAACAAGTTCGCGAATCAGATTAGAATGTCTGGATGAACTGATCTGAGATCGCTGCATGTGTTGTGAAGGACAGATCTATTGATCCTCGAAATCATGATCAGCAATGCAGCGATTGGCTTAATGCGTAATGACATCATCTGATTAATATTCAATTATCCATGTGAGCAAAATTACATCAAATTAGCAGTAAACCGTTTGTTAAATATGACATGCAAGAACCTTCCACATTTGTTGTGAGCTGCAGGCTTTACACTTTCATGTGTCAAGAGTATTCATCATGTATTTCAATGCATATCAGTGTATTTAGTTCTACATTTAGAAAATATTTTCTTTATTATAGTAGCCGTTTTTTTAATCAGTGTAAAGAATAACTGGATGTTTACAAAAGCATTTTGGTATTGGTAAAGGTGTCTGCAACTTTTGTGAAGCATCAAATCACTGCATATTAACTGTCAAAACATGTTTATGATTGCATGTATTATTGCTTTTAAAAAAAGTCACATATATGTACTAATAGTTACTATTTTCCCAAGTGCATAAAACTACTACTGTAGAAAATATCAGCATTTAGTACATACTGTCAATCTGCCTAGCAGGTTTGATGCTATGACAACAACTCTCGGATCAGCTTTGAAAAACCAAACGATCCTGGGGTCCGTTCTTCGTACGTGGATTACTCAGTTAGCTGGATTTGGATATTGACGATTTGACACGATCCAGGATCGTTTCGTTCTTCAAAGCTGATCCGAGAGTTGTTGTCATGGCAACAGTTCTGCTAGGTCAAACCTGATCGGGAGCAGGTTCAAATCATATAAACAGGATTAGATCGGCTCAGTTCAAGCAAAGATAATACAGAAAGTATGTACCGAGTTATGATATTTTCTTACAGTAAAAGTTATATACACTTGGGAAAATAGTACATATTTTTTAACTATATATATAAAAGTTATAGTCATTAATAAAATAAATAAAGTTATACATATTAATAAAACGTATGCAATCTGCACCCTCGAAATGAAAATACAAAGACTGCCACCTGGTGGTGCAAAGAGAAAACTTATTGATATGAACTTTTTAGATCGCGTTAGTACAAATTATGTATGATAGAAATGCACAATATGTGACTTTTTTAAAAAGCAATAATACATTTATGCAGTGATAAACATGTTTTGACAGTTAATATGCCAGTGATGCTTCACAAAAGTTGCTGACGCCTTTACCAATACCAAAATGCTTTTGGAAACAACCAGTTATTCTTTACACCGATTAAAAAACGGTTACTATAATAAAGAAAATCTTTTCTAAATGAAGAACTAAATACATTGATTTGCATTGAAATACATGATGAATACTCTTGTCTTGACAAATGAAAGTGTAAAGCCTGCAGCTCACAACAAATGTGAAGTTACTGCGAGTCATATTTAACAAGCCGTTTACTGCTAATTTGATGTAATTTTGCTCACATGGATAATTGAATATTAATCAGATGATGTCATTACGCTGCTGTGCCGTCAGCCAATCGTTGCATTGCTGATCATGATTTCTAGGATCGATAGATCTGTCCTTAACAACAAACGCAGCAATCTCAAATCAGTTTATCCAGACATTCTAATCTGATTCGCGAACTTGTTTGGAGAACCAAATTAGCCAGAGATCAGTTATCAAGATTAAAAGATCCAGGATCTGCCAAATCATCTTAGATCATTTAAGCAAGGTACGAAGAACGGACCCCTGGATCGTGTCAAATCGTCAATATCCAAATCCAGCTAACTGAGAACTAAGAACTGACCCCTGGCCTAAACCTAAACTCCTAGTCATAGCACTAATTTAACACTCCAATTCTACTCACACTGATTGACCAGGATTTGTCTTTTATTGTAGACCACAGTCAATTAATAATATGTTAGCTTTGTTTAAAATCAATATATTGCTTATAATGATGTCTTCAACAGAGAAGTGAATTGCACCGATTTTCACAATGAATCATTGTAACTGACTCTATCATGTCCCATGCTGCGTCACGTTGATGTGCACAGCCTCCAATTAATCACTAACTCTGGTTACCCGAGTTAACTGGGAACGTTTACAGTATATCAAGCTACAACTTAACTCAACTCTGCCACCCGGAGTTTGTTTTGTGTAATAGACTTCCATTAAACTTTACCTCTAAACCTTCTTTAGGTGTCACAGAACGTATAATTAGTATAACTTAAATAGACATACAAATGTATAATGGAATATAAATTCTGTTTCAACCCTTTTAGGTCCATTCAAACCATGTGATAACCTGTTTGACAGTTGGGTGGTACGACTTGGCATGTGGCTCATTTCTTTGGTCTCGCTGATGGGAAACAGCCTTCTGATCCTGACAGTCTTCACATCCCCCAGCTATCTCTCTCCTGTTAAGTTCATCATTGGAACCATCAGTGGTGCCAACCTGCTAACAGGCCTATGCACTGGAACCTTAGCTTTAGTTGATGCCCGGACATTTGGAGAGTTTGCCCTGCATGGCGCTCAGTGGGAAATGGGTGCAGGTTGCCGAGCAGTAGGCTTTCTTTCAGTGCTGGCCTCAGAGGGCTCCATACTCTTCCTGACTTTGGCCGCAGTGCAGTGCAGTGTGTCTGTCTCATGTGCCCGCGCTTACGGAAAGTCACCATCTTTGGGAAGTGTCCGAGCCGCTGCAGTTGCATGCTTGGCACTTTCGCTTGCAGTCGCTGCTTTGCCACTAATTGGGGTCGGAGAGTACGGGGCAACTCCACTCTGCATGCCATCACCCCTACCAGATGGAGAACCTTCCACACTGGGATTCATGGTTGCTCTCATAATGATGAACTCTTTGTGTTTCCTGGTGATCACTGGAACTTACATCAAGTTGTACTGGGACCTGATGAAGGGCGACTTTGACAGCATTTGGGATTGTGCCATGATTAAGCATGTGGCCTGGCTCATCTTCACCAACTGCCTGCTCTACTGCCCCGTTGCCTTCCTCACCTTCTCCTCCCTTCTAAGCCTCTTTCCGGTAAGTGAGGAGGTTGTCAAATCTGTCGTCCTAGTGCTTTTGCCTCTTCCAGCAAGCATCAACCCTTTGCTGTACCTTCTCTTCAATCCACACTTCCGTGAAGACATGCGTCTCCTTTTGAGCAGAGCTCACCTCAATCATGATCGCAACCTGGATTCCTTTGTCTCAGTTGACACAGAGAAAAGCTCCTATGACTCCACTCAAGCCCTGGTGTCTTTTGCCACTGAAGCAGATGGAGTGTTTGAAAGTTTGTCAGTCCCAAACCCTGAGACAGTTGCCCGGTTTACATGCCCACCCTCAGTGGCTCTGATTCCATGCCAGATGCAGATGAAACCATCAACAGACAGGGAGAACACTGGAGAGAATCTGATCAGATCAGCACCAGGACTCATTGCCAAAGAGCAGGAGCACATTAGAAGCAGTGGAGTGGACACTCAGAATGGCACCTCCATCTTCTCTGGAGCATACCACTCCACAGGTCCTTCAGCTCATTCTCAGGTCTTTACCTAAACTGTAGTTATTTTAAGGTCCTCTGAGTGTGAGAAGTCACAAACCCACAAATGAAATAAGTCTGAAAACCTACAGAGCTAATGATCAATGAACTGATTAATCTTGGGACTATACATAACCATAATGTCCCAACTGCTAGATGGCATTGTACAAATAATCAAATAAAAGACGAGACAAGAAAAGCATTACATTTTGTGCTCCACTCACATAAAGATACAAAACCTGTCACTGGGGTTGTATCTTTTCAAAAGATGCATTTTTGTACATAACAGGTCCACATTGGTACCTAATAAGTACAAATGTGTACATTAAAGGTACGTTTATTTCTGTGTACAATCGAGTGGGTCGTTCAATAATTTAAGCAGCGATGGTCAAAAACAAATTTGCATATATATTTTTTGTAACTTTGTAAACTGTTTGTGTAATTAGGATTAAAGGAATGTTACAGGTTAAATATTGCTACCATTTGAGGAATACTGGTGATTCTTAAAGAAAACAGCATCTTGTTTTACTCAACACTTTAGTAAAAATAAATAATACATGAATAAAGGAAGTTTTGAAGGCAAAGAACTTCAGTATGAACAGACAAATTCTAGAAAATGGTGACAGTCAATACACAATACAGAATTTTTACAATAGAAATGTAGATTAAATTAGTTTTTTAAAAAAAGAACAGCAGGTCACATCACATCTAGAACTAGAAATGATACTGTTGAACCATTTTCTGATATTTTTATTCATTTATCATTAACAAAAAAACAGACCACCATTACAAATTAATCAAGGTTTAAAAAGAGTTCGGCTGCGTTCGAAATCACATACTTCCATACTATACCCCTACTGAAAAAAACAGCTTAAACCAGCCTTAGCTGGTTGACCAGCCTGGTTTTAGAGTGGTTTTGGCCACTTCCAGCCTGGTTTAAGCTGAACAAAGCTGGTTTTGGCTGTGCTCCCAGCCTGGCTAGGCTGGTCATTTTCCAGGTTGACCAGCCTGGAAGTGGCCAAAACCCCTCTAAAACCAGCCAACCAGCCTAGGCTGGTGTAAGCTGTTTTTTTTTTTTT